TGCAGAGACTCCAGATCCTCAGAGCCAAGATGCCAAACGTCACCTAAGGAATGCATAAAGAGATAGGAAGAAAGAGTGCAGCAAGTGACACTGGGCCCCAGAGACTCCAGATCCTCCAGATCCTGTGGACCCCCAAGGGCCCCAGAGACTGCAGAGAAACATAAAGATCGGGAAGAAAGATTGCAACAAGCAAATTCGCAAAGCCCCGGCTTCTCTGGCGCACTCCCCCCTGCAGGGGTCGGCGGATATGTATATCGATACAAAATATAGATATAGATATACATATAGATATAGATATACATATAGATATAGATACATATATATATATATGTACATATATATATAGTGGTTACATGAATCAATTTATGATAATTCATCCAGACATGTCACAGAGAACCATTGTTGGGTCTCCATGCAGGGGCTTGACCAAGCATGGCTGTACAAAGTTTCAGTTTGGATTGAGATCAATAAGTTCTGGAGATGTTCTAAGATGAATCTTGCAGCTTTTGGTGCTTGCAGCTGAGATTATGCAATGTGAAGATCAAGATGCAGATTGCGTTTGGTCCAGTGTAGTCTGTAAGACTTTGCTCGTAGGGCAGGGTCTGTGCAGCCCAGGTGGCCCTAGTGGTGGCGTCGGAAACTCTGTTGGACAGTGGGAACATGGTTTGGTGGAACTCCTTTTTGGATTTTTGGATTCAAATGGCTAATCACTGATAGGAATCGGAAAGATTCACCAGCCACAATTTGGGATTTCAACATCTTTTAACATGATTTCAGATCTGATTTCATCATCTTTCATCATCTTTTAACATCATTAAACATATATTTTCTGGATTTTCATGGAATTTACTGTCATTTCCTCGGTCCGTCCTCGTGTTTGTTTCCCTTGTGGATCCACCTGCTGGCACCAAGGCCATGAAACGTGCCGCCTCGTGGCCAGCGGCCAGGGACCTAGAGGGAACCATGGTGGAGAAATGCAGTGTCTATTGAAGTCTATTGTACGTATTGTCAAATTTGATGTGTATATATATATATATGTATATAATATAATGTTTATGTATGCGGCGCATATGCAGCATGTTAAACACTACCCATGCCAACCGGTCCTTTTGCGACAAAATGTGCTTGGCCCTCAGACGGTGCGCGGAAGTCTGCAACGAGCAACCAAAAAGTGGATTGAATCCAGTGAGATAAGGATGGAACCAACAAACCATCGTCACTTGTACAAATCGACCTCTCAGATCATTGAACATGCCCACATTGCATAGGTGGTTCCTCCCATATCCATAAAAACATGTTTCACTCAGTGCATGTTGAACCAGACTTTTGGAGTCGTCAAAATAGGATACCCAGCAAGTATCCCCAAATCCAGTGGTTTTTTCATGGCAAATCCAGAGGCTTATCCTATTTATTGCCCTCATATTAAACCCTACCAATCTTTGGTTTCTAGGGGGTGTTTAGTCGAAGGAAGTTTAGAAGTGAAAATTCTGACAACATGGACAGATGGAAAAGCGGAGATGGGAAGAGTCAGAGAAGAGAAAGGAAGAAGAAAGAAGATCAGGGAAGAGAGAGGCAGAAGAATGAAGATCAAGGCGCGCGAAAAGGTAGAAAAGTCGCGAAACACTGTGTTTTTCCAATGATTCGTGGCTCCGGAGGGTCGAAAAGTAGGCTCCCTAAAGTGGAGGGTGCGCAGCCGCGCAGCCATCTGGTGAGATGAGAGAGGAAAAATTGCATGTCGTTGTGGTGCGAAGCACATTTTGAAGTCAAAATGCTAAACACACCTTGCTCTCGGAGCACTTTTGGAAGTTGAGATGTATGCGTGCCGTTGTGGCGCGAAGCACATATCGAAGTAAAAATGGTCAAAGCACTTCATTGTCGGAGTTTGGAAGTTCAGTTGTTGAAAAAGTGTATGGCATTGTGGCGCGAAGCACATTTCGAAGTCAACATGTTACTAGCACACCATTCTTGGACCACTTTTGGAAGTTGAGCTGTTCAAAAAGTGTGCGCCGGTGTGGCGGGAAACACATTTCGAAGTCAAAATGCTTAAAAACTGACGGTCTCGGACCACTTTTGGCAGTTGAGATGTCAAAAAAGTGCACGCTGTTTGCAACTACAACTGCGACTGCAACAACTACAACTACATTACGCTACACTACACTACGCTACACTACACTACACTACACCACGCTACGCCACACTACACTAATTACACTACACGACAATTACAACAAAAACTACATTGCACTATACGCTACGCTACACTACATTAGTTACAGTACAGTACAGTACAGTACATTACAACTACAGCTACGCTACACGAGGCCTACAACTACAAATACGACTGCGCTACGCCACAGCAGTTGTGGGCGACGTGACCGCTGCAACAACTCCAAAAAAACACAACTCCAACTACCTTTCGGTCCATCAGTGGATTCGTTCTGCCATCTGTGCATCACAACAACTCACCTCTCCGGAAGGTTTCCTATTCTGGAAACTTCCGCCGCCGCCTTCTGCGGTACTAGAGGGAAGGGGTGGGAGAATAATGCATTCATTGATTTCCCATTAAGTCCCTATATATCCCATTACATTCCCATTGTTACTGACTAATAGAATAGACCCAAACACATGAATGTTTGCATGTGTTCCAGTATGCTATTCCACATCCCATTAATATTCCCGTTATATTCCGGTTATATTCCCTACTAAAAAAGTGCCTCCTGGGGCCCAGGAAGATCGCGGCGCTCCAGCCCAACGCACCTGGTCAGGCGATGGGAGACCTAGGAAACCGAACTGATGTGATTCCCTGGGACGTTGCCATGAAAAAAAACGATCTAACCAATGAATTGTGAATATGGGATGATATGGGTATATGTACATATGTATATATATATATATTATATGTATATATATGTATGAAATTCCAAAATATGTAAACAAAAGGCGGGTAATGTGGTAATCTCACTGTCATAAACTATCGCCAATTACAAACCACTTGACGGCAATAGTGAACATCATCCCATTTTTTGGGGTATACCCAATTTCATAAGAGATGGTTGATGATATTGGATTTACCTTATCAGAATCAATAGAACTGCGGGATTTGAACAGCCAAGACAGACATAACTACCAAAAAAATCGTAATTTCAATGGTTCAACTGCCTTCATCCTGTTTTTTTTCAAATTGTGAAAGGCGGCGTTTAGACCCGTGGTTGCTTGGTGCTTTCCGCTCGCTCTGAGCCAGGCAAAGGTTCCTGGAAAGGCTCGGGGCGCGGCCTGAAAATTGACATGTGTTTGATATCTTTGATGGCCGGGGTTTCATCCGTTGTTTTTAAGTCTCAAGGACTTGTGTCTTCCAGGAAATGGGAATGGCTTCAAAGGAGGTGCTTTCCGCAGTGCTGATTTTGCCTTGGATGCCATCTTTGCTTTGCACTGTGTGCTATGGATCAACATTTGTTGGACCAATTTGGTCCATGTTGTTTTGACCCTTTATTTCCTCCAGTAGGAAACATCCAGTCTTTCAAGGTGACATGGATTCTAACAAATAAATCATGCATGGAAAGATCATGAATTCTTGCAGCGGAGTTTCCCATGCCGAGTTTGAATACGTCCGTTTTTTTTTTTTCGGACAGAGCCAGGTACAGTAAGTGTTTACGTTGTTTCCGTTTCATTCTCCATTACATTCCAATTCTTTCACAATCATAGCCAACATATCCAGCAACATATCCAGCAACATATCCAGCAACATATCCAGCAATATTATCCTCATCATATCCGCATGGCAGGCTGGAAAGGCGGCAAGGGCAAGGGCGGCAAGGGCGGCAAGGGCTGGTGATCCCGGGTCAGCCACTCAACTGGGGCACAGCAGTGGCCAGAAATGAAAAGACGAATGGGAAAACATGTGAAACATTGTGAAACTATGAATGAACATCAGATACCATCAGATCATTAATCTGGGTAAATTATAGTGACTTCACTTTGATAAAACGGATCGGTTGGGGATGGACAGGACGACATTCGAAAAATCGCTGAGGCAGTTGACCTGTCGGCGATGTCTCGCTCCAAAGATGAGCTCAACATTGGCAAGGTTTGTATGCCCGGCTGGTGATGCTAATGTGGGTTTGTCCGTTGAAAAGCGGGGGATGGCCATCAGCCCTCAATTTATGGCCAGGTAATGGATAAATGATGATCAATCATGGGATTTTGTTAGATACCCTGTTTTCAGACAAACCCATCTGTTTTGGTGACACATACTTCTTACATCTTACTATATCTTACTGCTTTCATGCTTTGCTCAGGAGAAATGTGGGTGTGACTGGTGTTGCTGTGGCAACTCCATTTGCGCCCAGAGAGCTGGAAAAAAGAGCTGATTTCTTGCGGATTTCTGGTGCTGGCAGTGGATGAAAGTGATGAAACAACGGACTTGAAAGTAGTCGTGCAGTTTCTGAAATTGTTTTGGCATCTGTTTCTCTTGTTTGTAACTTACGTAGAGTTTTTATCCACCAGCAGCCTATGCAACGGCAAAGATTGTGAAGTCACAGTGCTGGAGGTAAATTGGAGGGTTCCAGATGGCTTCTACCACCTGACTAGTGCAGATTCTAACCAAAGCACCCAGTGCATGAAGGTTATCATGGAAGTAAATATGGATACCCACGGAAAAAAAACCAAACAAACTACTAGGGCTTATTCACCATCTATTGTTGTTGGTTTTTACCATTCCGGGGGCACCTTTAAACTTCAGCTTAGGGCACAGCATGTCATTTTTAAACCTGCTTGGGTTGGACACCCGCCAGAATTCAGCTTTGGTGCAACAGCGCAGAAGTCAATGGACCCACAATCATCTGAATGCCAGAGGACCTTTCAACCCTTAGCCACCGAAGTGAAGATCCGATGCAAAATGCATCAGCAATACATCAACATACCATCCCGGCATATCCCGGCACCGGTTCAGCCACGTCATGGCAGAAGCAGATGCAGCTGATGCTGAGGATATCCCTACACGTTTGTGTGGTGAAGGGATGTCTCCAGGGTGGAAATCATGTTCCTTTGACTTTGGCCATTGATACAATCTATAGATGCACAGAGCAGTAGAAAGTCGGAGTGCTTTTCTCTCTCTTGTACTGTGATGTGGAACCATGCAGTCGTTTCACTACAGAGTGTCGGTGTCTTGATTGCTTTGAGGACGTCATCAGACACCATTTTTTAAGTGCTGTTGGCATGTCCATTCGACTTGACTGTCCTCTCGGACGCACGATGAGCATGCCGTATTCCCGGGATGAATATCTTGTGCCCCGAAGCTAGGCGAAGAGACCAAAAGTGGCCCAAGTCTGTTCCCTGAGTTTCTGAGGGTCTCATGTCTCAACTGTTTGAAGAAAGGGTATCCCATCCCCTGGTTACCATGGTTTGGAAGATCATTCCCCCCACGGTCCGCCAGGACAGTAAGGATCAGGTGCCAGAGGCGCTGCACCTGGGGTATCACCAGTTGGGGACAAACTCCAGCTAGCATAGCGGCATAGCTCTGGAAAATAGTCGTGATTTTCAGCAACTATGTTCATTACCAGAGGCTAATTCAATCTCTCCCTGGGATGATTATCCCAGCATATGAGTTGGATCAGTTTGATCTATCTCACCAGGCATTGCCACTTTTTTGATCTGGATCTGTTGGGCTGGTCAGATGCCAATCACCCAGCGTTCGGGGTCTGGGGTCCGCAGGATCTGAATCTGCTTCACTTCTTGGGACGAGAGGAACTCTCAGATTGCAGCATCAGGCAGGGCAGTCTCAAGCAGCCACAAGCGTATCATTCATATCATACATTTCAAAGCCTTCTTTGGACACCTGTCATGGAACATGTCTTTGGCCCAAAATTTGATTTGCGCAATTGGATGGTTAGGCAAGAAACAATGAGAATCCAGTTGCTTCATGGGTATCCCTATTTTTGGGTCACACTGTCCATAATAGATGAAATCCCCCAGAGAAACATCTAGAAACAGTATTGTATTGGGCGAACAGGATGACTGACCAGCTCTACCTCTTGCTTGAATAATCCCAATCTCAATCATATTATATCAAATAGTAGGATCATTAAATTATCACGGAGTACTTTTTGGTAAAAGCATCCCTGAGGTATTCCAATAGTAGGGGATGGGATTACAAAAAAAGATCCCCAGCAGCCCTGACCCCAAAAAGGGTCCTTCAGGTTGCCGGCTTCGGGCGCCCTGCCAGCTCAAGAGGTGAAATGTCACCGCCTGGCCTTGTGCTCCTTGATGCAGTGAAATCTGGGATGAATTGGGGATAATGAATTCGGATCAGTCCCAAAGAAAAGATAAGACTTGAAGCTTGAACATATGTATATATATATATAAATAATATATAAATAATATATAAATAATATATAAATAATATATAAATAATATATAAATAATATATAAATAATATATAAATAATATATAAATAATATATAAATAATATATAAATATATAAATAATATATAAATAATATATAAGTAATATATAAATAATATATAAATAATATATAAATAATATATAAATATATAAATAATATATAAATAATATAGAAATAATATAGAAATAATATAGAAATAATATAGACATAATATATAAATAATATATAAGTAATATATAAATAATATATAAATAATATATAAATAATATATAAATATATAAATAATATAGAAATAATATATAAATATATAAATAATATAGAAATAATATAGAAATAATATAGAAATAATATAGAAATAATATAATATATAAATAATATATAAATAATATAATATATAAATAATATATAAATAATATAGAAACAATATATAAATAATATAGAAATAATATATAAATAATATAATATATAAATAATATAGAAATAATATAGAAATAATATATAAATAATATATTATATAAATAATATATAAATAATATATAGATAATATATAAATAATATATAAATAATATATAAGTAATATATCAATAATATATAAATAATATATAAATAATATATAAATAATATATAAATAATATAAATAATATATAAATAATATATAAATAATATATAAATAATATATAAATAATATATATAAATAATATATAAATCATATATAAATCATATATAAATAATATATAAATAATATATAAATAATATATAAATAATATATAAATAATATATAAATAATATATAAATAATATATAAATAATATATAAATAATATATATAAATAATATATAAATAATATATATAAATAATATATAAATCATATATAAATAATATATAAATAATATATAAATAATATATATATATAAATAATATATATATATAATATAAATAACATATAATATATATATATATTATATACACATCTAGAAAATATATATATATAATATAAATAACATATAATATATATATATTATATACACATCTAGAAAATATATACGTATATGTATATATGGTACAGGCCTCTAACCCCACCCCCCGGTCATGGTCATGGTCCCATTCCTGGTCCTGGTCCCCGGGGGGTACCGGGCCGCAGACCGGGACCATATATACATACCCTCTGAACTCTGTAAATAAAGTTTGACATGTTTTTTTTTCCACCATTTGTAGATCATTTTAGTTTGCCAAGTAATTAATAATTATGTGCGAACAGTTCTTCCTTTCCCCCCATGACTGTGTACTGAAATTGAGATGATGCAATTGGGTTTACCAAGTTGTGGACATCTTTCACCTGACGGATCCACATCGTCACAAGCAATTTCAACATATTTCCATCCAGATACTGGTTAGTGATTTGGTCTATTTATTTTTCCTTCCTATTTGGGATGATGAACACGGCCCATTGACTTTCCTATTTTTCAGGGGTGGCTGCCTGGAGCACCAGCCACGAGGTTCCACCTCAGGCTACTGCTTCCAGAAATTCCTGGGCCCCGATGCGCCCAGTACCTTGGATCTCCCTGAGTTTCTTGGCAATAAAAAATGGTGCCAGACTTTATGGCAAGGAGTCATCACATGATTTGTTGTTGATGTTGGTGTATGTTGGTGTATGAGGATTCTTGATAATTACATACAATTACATTGTTTGAACTTTGAAGAGCCTTTCTCTTTTTTCTTGAGTCATTTGGATAGAAATCACATGAAATCACCATCAATGACCATAAATGGAGGTTTCCTAAAATAGGGCTACCCCCAGTCATCATCCATTTATAGATGGATTTTCCATGCCATTTTTACCAGCTGGGTAGCACCAGGCTGCCCGATGATGCCGAGCTTCGACGCCAGATGCCACTGCAGTCGCTGTTCCAACTGGCGCCCCGGTTTTTTCATGGGAAAATGGCTCGAGTTCCGAGGGGCGGGGATAAGTGGCCAATAGATGCTGGTCTTCATGGGGAAACTGGTATACTGTAATATGATGAGAATATGTGTACATATATGTGTGTATATATGTGTGTATATATATATTATGTATATATATATATACACATAAATACCCGTGTCTTGTGTTCACGGCCCCCCCTGGTATGGGGGGTTACCCCCTCACCCACCCACCCCACCCACCCCCCGCACCACATCCACAAGGGGGGGAGGGATACATAGACATATGCATACATATCATATACATGCTGTATACATTTGCACATACACATACTACATACGTATACACACGCTTGTGTGTGTATATACAGTATATAATATATATATATACACACATACACACAGTTTAAATTGATAAAATGAAACGATGAGCAGTAAACTTTAATATAGATTTAGGATGATTCAGGGTACTTTTTCGACAAACCCTTACCGATAGCCACATGATAGCGGCTGTGTCCAGCTGCGGTGGCTTCTATTTGGTGTGGCATTCACAAGATCCAAATGATCCAAATGATCCATATCTCACTATCAAAAGTTCAAGAAAATCGAATGGGGGAAATGTGCAGTTTCCTTCTTTTAGCATTGATACAGGCGCAAAGAAAACATGGTGAGACTTGTTTGTTGAGCTTTGATCTCTGCTGCATTCAACCACATTTTGGTTGCGACGTTTGAGGTGCTTCGCTTTGCATATGGTGGCCAAAAGTGGGAACCACTTGAAACGCTGGCCGCTTGGTTGGAACTTTGGGAGAACATCAGTCAGCCCTTTCAGTTGTGTTTCCACAGGTTCGATACTGTAACTTTTGAGGAAGCAGTTTGATGGTGAATCGGATAATCTGATCGACTTTTTGGATGATCCTGCGTGATCCTTTATTGCTTGTAACTGTAACCCTAAAGGGCGAGTAAAAGCCGCCAGCAGTCTGCTCTTGCTTCGAACGGAGACCTGCATGGAAGTCTACCACTCCCAAGGCACATGCCTCCAGCATCAGATTGATGTTGAGAACTTTGCTGCCAGGAATTGCTGATGTTTCTCCCACCACTTGAAGGCAGCAATGCCATGCAATGCTAATGTCTTTCGTCCAGGTCACACCGGAGTCCTGTCCCGGTCTCTACGCATTGGCCACCTTGCAGCAAGATGCGCAGAGTCTGTACCCAGGTCTTAATTGTTCCGCATCCATCAGGATGGCCAAAGTGCCAGAGTTAACGCTTCTATCATCTGGTTGGTGGTTTCATTTTAGCACAAAAATCCATCCTAAAAATGGTTGACGGGCACAAAAATCCATCCTAAAAATGGTTGACGGTCTCGAAGGACACACACATGTATATATATATGATTATATAGATATTTTGATATATATATATATATGTACACCTATGAGAATTGTCCTTCAATCACCAATCAGGCATCCATTTGTCTGTTGTCATTTGGCCCAGTGGGACTCAGCTTGTCGCATCCCCTGGCACAAGATTCCAGGGATGACTTCAGTGACAGCATGGGCAAGTCCGCAGGTCGTCATCACCACAGGCAACGTTCCCACCCTTCCCACGCTGCGCGTGGAAGTGGATTCCAAGGCAGGCGAATGGCATCGTCGCTATCATGACTTGGAGGCATCCCTGTATCAGGTGCAGGCCGAGTTATCGAGTGCAACTGGGTCAAATTGTTGAGGAAAATCGAACTGTTTGATTTTCCATCTGGAAAAAAGGGCCTCCCAGGCAATGCTTCCCCCCTATTTAATGATTGGTTTATCTCCCGGTTGATGCTCCCGATGATTGTTGCTTGAAGCCAAAAGGTGAAAGAAAGAGAGCGGTCTCTGATCGCGCGCAACTTGGAACTGGAACGACAACAGAGTGGTTGGAGTGCTATGGAGGGGGCGTTGCAAGATGCGCGGAAGGAGCTGTCAAAATATTACAGGAAAAGGGGGATAGATGTTTGGTGAAAACGATGATATGCATATGTATATATATATATATACATACATTATATACATAATTATATATAATATGTATGTATGTGATGTTCATCAACAATTTTGTGACATATGTACAAACACACGCCTATATATATACATACATATGATATGATATGATATGTGTATATATATATATATTTCTCACAATATATTTATAGAACATTCGTTTATAATTCATTTCTACTTTAGATACATATACTCCGATGATGCTGTTGATGATCCCGCGAGGAGTTGTCCAGCCAGAAGTCTTCGGCTTTGGAGCTGCAGCGTCGCTTGGATGCTGCGTTAAAGAACGGGAGCAGCAAGGAGGGGCTCTGCGAACAGCTGCGAGCTCAGCTCAGATCCAGGGAAGTGGAGCTCGAGAAGTCCAAAGAGGAGGCTTAAGGGATGCTCTGGTTATCCCTGGTTGATTAGATATTGAATGGACATTTCATCATAGTTGTGGAATAGGATCGTTTAAATCATGACACATATATTGGATATAAATGAATATTGATATAACTAATACTAATTGATAAATGGTGGTAGGTTGATGATTTGTTCGAGGATGGTGAATCCACCTTTAACAAACTTGGGGATTCTCATCACCCATGAACTGGCAATCGCGCAATTGTCACCAGTGGAATGAAATGACAGAGGGTATTGAACACTCAAATGTCGGCCATCAAAGCGGCCATTTTTAAAGGGGTTATACATGCCAGTTATTGTTGGAAGGTAGGTTTCACGTCCAGTATTCGATTTAGAGAGGTATAAATTTTTGAGGAAATGAGATGATATCTGGGTATACTAAGAGCAGTCGGTAGATCATAGGAGAATCCGGCCTGGCTGGTTCGCATCACTTTGAATGGGAACTCATTTACAGATCTAGATGAATAGTTGATGATTATCATTATCATTATCATCATTGTCATTATTCTTGTCATTATTATTATTCTTCTTCCATTCTTACTTCTTTCATTGCTGGGTGTGTCTATACCAGAGGTTCATCACAATGCAACGAACTCACAGCCGACCATTCGCAGCAATGTTAGTGGAATCATCCCCAAAGTGATGCCAGGTGCAGAAGCTCAGGGTGGAGTCCTGGCACCGAAAATTCAAGTGATGCTGCATGTGGTCGAAACGCTGTGTCCCATGTTTCCAGCTCAAATGGGGATCTTGGGATTACTGTCCCGCCATCAGGTCATCCCCAGAATTGGTTAACACGTTGGAAAAGAGTTTTTGGAACACAGCTACTGAAGGTAAAACACATGGTTTCCTGCGAGATGTCCTCAAGATCAAGCCAATGATTCGTTGAATCACTGGAAATCCAAGGAGTTCAACAAAGACCAGGAACTACATCATCGTTCCATGTCCGAGCTTAGGGATGTCTTTGAGCGACAGCTAGAGAAGATGAGAGAAGAGGTGAGGGTCAAGGAGCAGGACCTTCACAAGGTCCGCACAGGTGGGGATGGGTCAAACCTTTGCCACTTGAAATCGGATCTTGTTTTTGCAATCCCCAAAAAGATAGAGACACCATTTGCACCTGTTTGAGAAGTTTTTGTTTTATGTTTCTATCATTTTTGGTTACCTTAGTGCAAGATCAACAAAACAGGGCGTTCATAACCAATGAAGGTCCCAAAAATGATCTCCCAAAGGGCGGGGGCAAAATGGTCTTTGGATGTCTTTGGCAAATTTGGAGAAATGGACAGGTCTGCAGAAGGAGGAAAAACTCCATTACAACGCCGTCTCGGAGATTTGCGACTTGAGGCATCGTCTCAAAGTGGCCCTGGAACAGGAAAGCAAACATCTCAGGATGGTGGAAACGTTACAGTCTGAAAGGGAGCTATGGCTCAGGAGATGCTTGGATTTTTGCCATGTGATTTTTTCTTTTCCTCATATTTTTCATCCACCAAATATGGAGAATTTGCTGGGAGGATGTGTAACTTCCAGTTGGTGACACCTGTTGCTATTCGCCTAGGTGACACCTATTGCTGGTGCAAACCTGCAGAGGTGGTGGACATAACCATCACCCCCACAGCACCCTTGTACCCGGCGCCCCGACGCCTGTTTTGCCGACGACTTGCTTAGCAACAGCAAGGATTGGAAGATGGCGAAGCCATCATTTCTGAATGTCCGTGAAACGGGAGTCAACCAGCCCAGTCTGAAGGAACCAGGGCACTGAGGGTATGAAGTGAGGGTATGAAGTGAACAGGCTGGAACGAAAAAGCTTATCCGCTTACGAAGGATTATATCCGTTTCCATGATTTTCCAAGTTGAATCCACACAACAGTGTTTGTTTTCTATGTTTCTGCTTCAAGCGGCAGTCTTGTTGGATATATTCGCAAATTTCAGCACGATTCTTGTTGCTTGTCCCGGTTTCGTCGGTTAAACATGTCAAAGCTTCATTTTGGTGGTTACAACCCCAAAAAATCTCAGCACTGTTGCCAGCAGTGCGAACATCCTGATTTTTGTTGGTAGAAGATGGTAAACCTCCACATTTGTGTTGGGTAAACCACAGAGGATAAAATAGTGGGTAAACAGTTGGCGGTTATTGTATGCCAATCAGTTTTTTTTAGGGAAAAAATGCTAGCAGTATGGACCCACACTCCAATTGAACACTCCAATTATGGTATATAACTTACATAAAACGCATCCAGATGTGGAAAATCTCCCCATCCACATTTTGGCCTTGGGGCGTCTCCAAGGCCAAGTTACTGGACGCTCGGGGTTTGGTGATAGCGGCTGAGGCCATGGACTTGAATCCAGGCCATGGGATCATGGGAATCACCTCAACATAAACAACATAACTGGTTGGTGGTTTGGAACATGGCTTTTATATATTTTTCCACGAGGGGTAGGTAATACCAGGTATACCACCAGCCAGATAAGATGGGAACCATGGAATTGGGGCTGGTTGAAGTTGGGATAAGTTTGGTGAAACCATGTGAAACCGAGCCTGCATGTCTTCTGGGCCTGAAAGCAAACACCCAGCTTAAACTGCTTCATCCATGGACTTTCACCCTGGTTGACATTCTCATGGTGTCGGTAAGGGATGTGATATCTAGCTAATCCATACCAGTCGTCTGCAGCATGTATTTTACATTATTTACACTATTTACATTATTTCCATTATTTTACATGAACTAACAGTTATATAACATGATCAACAGTGGACTGAAAGGTACCCTACCCTCAGAGCAGGCACCGCTGCCAAGCTGCTGTATGTGGCGTCACAGCTGAAGGACCAAGCGGTGCCTCGGCGATGTTGATGTTTGAAGATTTTCAGTACCAGTACCGCACCTTGGGCGGCGGAAGTTCAAAGATAGGAACACCATAGGAAAGGTTGAGTTGTTGGAGTGTCGCTGACGGAGTGACAGGCGGTTGGAGTGTCTCCTTTCTCTTCTCTGACTCTTCCCACGTCTGCTGCTTATCTGTCCACATTGTCGGAAGTTTGACTTCTAAACTTCCTTTGATTGTTGGATTTCTGGAATGATAAACTACCTCTAATCTTATTGTTGAAGTTTATAAAATTATTTATTACTGTTTTTGAAGAAAAACATTATGTCCCCCCTAGTTGGAATAATGAACTTATGTTACAGCAAACATACTTGGGAAAAGGGTTGAAGAAACCAACCAGCCAACACTATGCCCTGCTATTTGACTGGGAAGTCAGAGGGCTTGAGGCTGAAGAAGTTGCATGCTTGCGTCATAAGAACTGTTCCAGTTGAGAGGATTAGCAAAATGCCTCGACAAAATTCTAACATCAGCCAAATTCAGGACATGCTTTTGGCATCCTTTGGCCGCAACTGCTCTATTTTTCAACAGCTGGTTTCTTGTGCTCAGTCATTTTACAGCCTGTCCCTCAGGATTTTCAATCTGCGCTGGATCGGTCCCTGGATGTGGTGCGAGACGGCTTTGGGCCCTTGTGCTTGAGTCCGCCACACATGGGAGCCTTGTCCCCGACACTGGAAAGGGAGTGGAAAAGATCCAAGCAACCCAGGGGTTCATGGAATGAGATGGCATACATAGCTACAGTAAGGCTCAAAATTGAGCACCCCTGACATTTGCTTTTCTACTCAAAAAGGCCCAAAATTTGTAGGCTCGAATTTTAGCTTGTAGATGCAGAGTCATTCCTGGCCATTTCGGTCACATGCAAACAGACTCAGGCATGGAGCAAATGGAGCACCTGAATCCAAGGAATTCAGTTTTTTTTCCAACATTTCAGAGGGGATCCGCAGATTTTGGTCGGTATTGTTTTGCATTCAACCGGTATACTGTAACCAACCAATCTTGGGGCCCATTCCCAGGACTCCTTGCTAAGTTGCCCGTGAGCTTGTTGCTACGTTTGCTGGAGCAAGATGCGTTGAACGTACCACAGGACGCCACGCGGGTTCCCGCGGCTTCTCTTATAGGTGGAGGTAAAGGACCAGGGTTTGATATATGAAGATGTTATATAATGTTATATATATATATTACAGTATATATTCATAATTTTATAAATAGGTATATAGGAACATATTACTGTATGATATATTGTATATCATACTTCTACTTAAATGTTCTTTTCACATCCACTTTTGATCACTTTGGTTTATGTGGGGCTGGACCAACCCCAGCTCCAAAGTCGTATGGCTTTCCATAGCCAGGAGGAAAACGTTTTGCGTTTTGCCAGGGCCCAAGACTGCGAGGATTTGCGCTTAATTTTCCAGTTGGTTGACGATTTGAGCGGGCCTTATGCTGCCCTTTATATGCTGGAAACTATCAACATCCACTAATTATCAGATCCTCAATTAGTTTGTGAAACTGTTGGTGAATGTGGTTTCTATGGATCCATCCATACCCTCAATCACTATCCACACCGAAAAACAAGAGCCAGTTGGATGGTGAACTGTTGGTTGGTTGTTGGTTGGTTGAACTGTTAAAAGATGATTTTCGGACGCCGTGCCAGCCGTGCGCAGGTCCGGCACATCCTGTGGCGGCGCTTGCTGCGTGAGGAGAAACTGCTGACGCTTAGCGGTGGCCTTGAGGGACTCGAGAGCGAAGGTGAGGAAGCATCGACCGGATATGTTTATAACTGTTTATATGTATATTATATTATATATATTATATTATATATATGATATATATATATACGTATAATATATATATATAGATATATACATATATTATATATTAATGTACATATATATATATATGACCATTTGCCAAAAATAGTTGACATAAGTCTTGTACTAGTTGCTGATAATTAGTGTGGACCTAGTTGTTTTTCCTCTTCGTTATGAGGCGGCACGCAACTAAATTCACCAATTCTGCAAGGCAGCGCTAGCAAACCCGCTAGGTTTGCGCTAGTTTTTTTTTTCCACACCCATGTTCAAGGATATTTTTTTGTGTTCCTGTCTGCTTGTTATTTCAACATGAAGAAAAGTCAAGATGTAACACTCAGCTCCTTAAACCTAAGGATGTCTTAGTGAATTTCTGTGCTACTCGACAAATTTCCTATATTTTTGAGGTTGCGGCTCAACTTTGCGAATTTGTATGTAATTTTACCCCCTGCCAGCAATGCGCTAGCAAAAGTTTCAAAAAACGGCTTTGGTTGACCCGTGACCCAGTCGCCACCAGAGAACTTGTAGTTTATCCTGTCTGTTTGACAACGCAACAGTGACAGCAAAGGCAACGACCAGCTCTGCAGATATTCCAGTTCCACCACTAACAACTAGCAGCGGCACCCACTTCATATAGACGCGCGTTAGCATTTACTGCAGGTTTTAGCTACGGCTTCAAACATGAAAAAAATAAATAAATATATATATATATGGGTAAATTATGCTGTGACATCATAGTGACCTCACTGGAAGGTTAGGATCTGAGGAATCATCTCCAAATTTCCGAACTTTTCTAATGTTCGAGGATTTGGGGTGAATGATGTTTAGGATCGGGGGGAACAATCCCCAAATGGCCTTATTTCCGCTATTTTCAAGTTAGCGAATTATTGTAATACAGCCACATCTATATGTACATGTAATATACTGTACTGTAATGCAATGTAATGTAATGGAATGTACTGTAATCATGTATGTAATGTAATGTAATGTGATGTAATGCAATGTAATTAATGTAATGTAATGTAATGTAGTGTAGTGTAATGTAGTCATGTATGTAGTGTAATCATATATGTAATGTAATCATGTATGTAATGTAATGTAGTGTAGTGTAGTGTGATGTGATGTGATGTAATATAGTGTATGTATGTATGTATGTATGTATTTATGTATGTATAGACATTGTAATAGCAATAATAATATATATGTTAATTAGTTGTTAATTACCAATAGAAAATAATCGATTTTGATAACAATACTACTAGTACTATTAATGACAATTAATGATGATTATTATTCTGTTCCTGAAGTAGGTAGAAACTTTTAAACGATACATCCATGAACCTGTATCAAACCACAGACATATATACTGTATATATGTATGTATATATGTATGTATGTATCTATCTATCTATCTATGCATGCATGTATGTATGTAATGTATTTATGTATGTAATGTAATGTAATGTAATGCAATGTAATGCACTGTAATGTAATGTAATGTAATGTATGTAATTAATGTATGTATGTATGTCATGTAATGTAATGTAATGTAATGTAATGTTATGTTATGTTATGTTAGGTTGTGTTAGTATGTAATGTAATGTAATGTAGTGTAGTGTAATGTAACGTAACGTAATGTAATCTTATGTTATGTTATGTATGTATGTAATGTAATGTAATGTAATGTAATGTAATGTAGATCGACAAACATGGGGATATGATTCGGACAAGGGGGATATTTTGGTGGATATATCCACACAGACACATTCTCTTTTCTTCTTTCTCTTCTCTCTTTGTATATCTAAATATATATCTGTATATGTATATATTCAGAGATCCGTGCATTTTTTGAGGCCCAAGTATTCGGGTGAAATGACTACGAACAAAAACAAGGGGAGGCTTGCAAAGCAAACATCAACATCTGGCGATACTGAGCGACACAAAATGACGAGGTAACCAACAATATGCGAGGGTTTAACCGAGGGACATTGAGACAACCGTGATTTAATTAACAAACTAAATGCCGATGTTCGTCAATGAATTATGGACATACGCGCCAGCAATGGGTAGATGAACTTACCAACATGAGGCTGTAGCCAAGGTTTTGCAACCCAAGTAGCCTGTTACACCGGTTGTTTATTCAGAGTTTTATTCCCATGATTTGTCCATGATTTAGTGATATGTTTGATGAACGTCCCCGCAGAGGACCATTCCAATGGACTGGTGCAACTGCAGATTTTTTTTGGCCCATACTCACCTATGTAGATGACAGGATATGATAGGTGTATTTATCTTGGACCCCCCACCATTCCATGCCAAACTAGCAGTCCACCTGATCCCACATAGTCATGGTCCAAGTGTATACTGAGGGCTATCCGCACACCCACTACACAACAGATAGTGAAGGTGATTGCTGTGCCAATACATTTTGGTGATGAACATTGTGAATGTGAGATAAACCCACCTACATAAGATAGTAATAGTACATAATCGTCTGTATATCATAGTGACATAGTGCAGTAAGTTGTGCTACTTGAGGTTTATATACCATAATATATACATATATATATATATATACCATTATATACCAATAGTAGTCACCTACTGATATACTGCACTTGTAGGTTCCATTCTCCCAAATTCCTTGCCGCAGGGCTACAACTGCGATGGGAGTCGATGGCGGAGGCGCCCAAGATTGATTCCCCTTTCCACACGACATGGAAATCCATGGAATCCTTCGGATTTTTCCATGTCGTTGATGGAATTTTTGGAGGGTATCTACTCTAGACATCTCTAGATCCCGCAGGATCCCGCAGGTTGCTAATGCATCTCAAAACCTCTATTGATAGACGCATTCATGCTTGCTAATCAACGCTTGTGGGGTTGAACCAAAAAACAAACAAAGTCTCTGGCCTGCCTTATTCAAAATTCTTCAAATCGCAAGATTCAGCTAGTGAGTGGAAGCAGCTAGTGAATTTCTACATACCGTTATTTCCCCATATTTCCCCCATGTTTTGAGGAACTCCCAGCGTCCAAGGATGGCCATGGCTCCGATGGCTCCAATGGCTCCCCAGCTGTGGATCGCTATTCCGCCTCAGCGGCCGCACCTGAAGGCCGCAGCACGATGGGGGCCATCCTTGGCTATATCAAGCTATATCAAGCTATATCAAGCTATATCAAGCTATATCAAGCTATATCAAGCTATATCGAGCTATATCGAGCTATATCGAGCTATATCGAGCTATATCGAGCTATATCGAGCTATATCGAGCTATATCGAGCTATATCGAGCTATATCGAGCTATATCGAGCTATATCGAGCTATATCGAGCTATATCGAGCTATATCGAGCTACATCGAGCTACATCGAGCTACATCGAGCTATATCGAGCTATATCGAGCTATATCGATCGAGCTACATCGAGCTATATCGAGCTATATCGAGCTATATCGAGCCATATCGAGCCATATCGAGCTATATCGAGCTATATCGAGCTATATCGAGCTATATCGAGCTATATCGAGCTATATCGAGCTATATCGAGCTATATCGAGCTATATCGAGCTATATCGAGCTATATCGAGCTATATCGAGCTATATCGAGCTATATCGAGCTATATCGAGCTATATCGAGCTATATCGAGCTATATCGAGCTATATCGAGCTATATCGAGCTATATCGAGCTATATCGAGCTATATCGAGCTATATCGAGCTATATCGAGCTATATCGAGCTATATCGAGCTATATCGAGCTATATCGAGCTATATCGAGCTATATCGAGCTATATCGAGCTATATCGAGCTATATCGAGCTATATCGAGCTATATCGAGCTATATCGAGCTATATCGAGCTACGAGCTATCGAGCTATATCGAGCTATATCGAGCTATATCGAGAGCTATATCGAGCTATATCGAGCTATATCGAGCTATATCGAGCTATATCGAGCTATATCGAGCTATATCGAGCTATATCAAGCTATATCGAGCTATATCGAGCTATATCGAGCTATATCAAGCTATATCAAGCTATATCAAGCTATATCAAGCTATATCTCATTCATAAATGATTGATTTTTCCCACTGCCATCCATGGTTGATTTTCCACTGCCATGTTTGAGTACTGGAGGTTTTTTTTCTTCCCCTTTTTAGATGGGGTATCTATTCATCCAAAAACATGGGATTCCATTGGGATTGAAAAAAGGGATGAATAGCGGTACCATGGCGGTACCATGGCGGTACCATGGCGGTACCATGCCGGGCGTGTCTGAAAATGGGCTACACCGGCAGCCGCCCGCAATTCATTGCCGTTTTGATGATCATAAACCACTAGATGTTGGGGTATCCTATTCTCAGATGTTGGCCCATGGAGGGGCCATTTCTTTCTTGCACGGTTTTCAAACATCTTAATACCCGAAAGTGTGAAATTCATTGGGCAAATGTGCTTGGGACATGGTGGGTCAAAGTGGAGACCCATGGAGACCCAAGTTTGGTCATTTTTTATACATTCAGCATGCCTTTTTGCGGTGCCCAATCTTGACAAACACTGGTGGAGAAACATAGAAGCAAAATGAAGCAAACTCATTGGCAGCTCCTGTTTGACATTGCCCGTGTTGCTCTGATTCATCATCCTGTGAATTCCTCTGCGTTCCGCTGTGATGCCTTGGATTCACGAGTCCATTGGTGTATTCCCCCAATTTGTTCTGTTTGCAGATCGGATAGCGGGGAAATTTCCAGAGATTTTGATGATGCCAAAGCATCCTGAATTTGCGGGCTGCATGTCATCCCACACCAACATCATTTCACTGAGAAATATTCCTGAGAGGGACAGAAACCCGTTGTGGAGTTTGGGCATCTTCAGGTTGCAAAATGGATGATTTTATGATATTTTATGTGATTTTTCAATAAATACTTGAAATATCTTGAAATGATCCTCTTCCTCCAGGAAAAGTTGTAACCCCAGATACTGTCGGGGCCGTCGCGCCAGGTTCCGCTGACATCCCAGAGCTCTCCCATCGAATTCCCGCGGAGTCTGGCACCACCATCTCCCTCACAGCTCTCAAAGGCGAAGAGGCCGCCGGGTGAATCGAGAAGGGTCATGGAATGATGTCATTCCACTTGAAAGAGCTGGGTAATTCTAGTCATAGTTGCTGGAAAAAGACCCTGGATATGCACAGGAAGAAACCACTAGGTATTTACACTCCATTGAAAACCGTTGAGGAACCACATGGTAAGAATGATTAGGACGTCAAGCACCTTCAATATCTTCAAGTGGGCTGATCCACGTTGCATGAAAATTCGGTTGTACTCGTACCATTTGCCTTAGAAGAACAAGAATCCAGGATACACGCTTGTCTTCTAAGTTTTCACACGTTATCAGCGCTCTTCAATCATCGGAGATGGTCCGTCCTGCTACGTCTGGCTCTGGCTCAGGACAAGAGGTCCTTAGTAGGATGCAGGAAATATTCAGGCCAAGAGTCCAAAGACCTCCAAGATTCTAAGATGTCGAATCTATCTATCTATCTATCTATCTATCTATCTATCTATCTATATATAGATAGAAAGATCATGACACATCATGTGTGAAAACAAAAATCCGACAGTCGTGTGCAACACTCGGCGTGAGCCGTTTAGCGGCAAGCATGGCCCTCCAGTACCAGCGCACCTTTATTGACTGTGTCAAGGACTGGACTGGAAGGACTCTGTGCTATCCCCAAAAATGACCAGATCTGTGTCCCCCAATTTTATGGTACCCCCAATGCCTGAATGCATTGACAGGAGGAAGACGATGCTCCTGTACGGCGGTGTGTCAGCTTGCCGGCTCTGAGGGAAGACACTAACCTGACAGAGGCTAGGGGAACCGGTCATGGGTTGGGTGACCTATCGGACCTACCTTTACACCAGATTTGCGAAGGTTTGTTCAAGACCTTGTACATGGCAAAAACGAGTGATCAGATACTAGTCGGTTGATTTCTATTTCATGGTCCCTGGCCCGAATCATGACCCCACAGAAAGCCCCGGTGAAATGTGTTGAATCCGGTCATTTTTGGGGGCCCCGACTTTGGCAGGCACGACTCCACCAGGCCATAATCGGCCAGTATCTTGACCAGCTGAGCCAGGTGGCGCCGGGGGAGGATTTGCGAATCATGATGGATTTTCGGCTGTTGAACGAGTGCTTTGAAGCCAGATGCCCACGATATGTGGTTGGTAGTTTTCGCAACAGCTTCCATGCTTTCCACGTAAGAAACCAGTCTTTTTCAGGTTTAAGTGGCTTGCAGTGCAACTCATTGAAGTGGGAGTCCCGCTCACAACAGCCCAGTAGAATCAATGGCAGCTGGGGATGAGCCCACGACCCAGAATCCTTCAACCAGCCGTGACAAATTCACCGTGTTTTTTTGACACGTGTGGTTCTTGGCTGTTTATTTTATGGGGTCATAAAAGATGATCAATCCATTCCCAAGATTTAAACCATCCAAAAACGTTGGTTTCTTACTGTATGGATTTGAATGGTTTTGGGGGGGGCCAGAATATGGGGGAGTCTCTGGCTTCGGGGCGAGGCAGCCTTGGCCGCGCCGGCGCCTGCTGCGCCCGGGGCTGCACAAGGGGCTGCACAAGGTGGGGCTGCAGCGGAGCCCCAACAGCTGCTGGGATGGATCACTTTTGAAGAGAGATTGAGGATGATTTGAGTATGACAACCACTGATCTTGGGTGATTTTGCTATGATTTTGGGTGTGATTTCTGTATTTTGAAACCTGCAGATTCTGGGTGATTCTGTGATATTTGCGCGATTTGGAGCATGACACCTCCGACTTGTTGGGCCTTCCATTTCGACCCATAGTTTTGGACTAGATGGTGCACGATGGGCTTTTGGCTTGACGTATCTGGGTTGTCCTCAGACCAAGTTTGACTATATAATAAGTTATATATAATAAGTTATATATAATAAGTTATATATATAATATGGTGAAAAGTATGTGGGTGAAGAGTCTGTGGCGGGAAAAGCCTGGGTCAAAAGTATATGGGTGAAAATATATGAGGGCGAAAAGTCTGTGGTTGAACAGTCTGTGGGTGAAAAACCGGTGGGTGAAGAGTATGTGGGTGAAAGGAATATGGGTGAAAAGTGTGTGGTGATAAATATGGTGACAAGTATGTGGGTGAAAGTATGTGGGTGAAAAGTGTGGGGGAACAGTCTGTGGGCGAAGAGTTTGTGGGTGAAAAGTCTGTGGGTGAAAAAAATATATGGATGAAAAGTCTGTGGGTGAAATGTTTGTGGGTAAAAGGTCTGTGGGTGACAAGTCTAAGTCTGTGGGTGAAAAGTAAATGAGTGTAGATGGGATGCTGGCTTTCGTTCCCCCCTTCTCAGGTATTTCCACATACACGTACACGTACACGCACACGGAGACAGACACGGACACGGACACGGACACGGACATGCACACGGACACAGACACGGTCAAGGTCGCATTTTCAGGTGAACAAATGGGAGGAGAAAAGTGAGGAGAACGCCAATCAAGTCACAGCCTGATATCCAAGGAGCTGCTTCGACTTCATCTGGTGCAAGTTTAAGCTGTGGAGCTGGGCCACACGGTGCGCATCCCAGGATGCGCAAGGGCAGTGATTTGTTGACCCACGCGTTCTGCACTTGAAACTAGATTTTGCAAATGTCGAGGTCAAAAAGGAACGGGTAAGAAAAATTAGGACGCAAATTCTGGACCAACCTTTAAGTGGTGACTTTTTGTTGGAGGTTGTTGCATTGGAAAGGAACAGATACCAATAAAGCTGGCGGCCGTCATCAATTTGTGTCTGAAGGAACGCACAGCTGGTAGAGGTGTATACAAGTAGTACCCGGCAAAGCCAGGGGCGGAAGTTTCAAAATTGAAGCGCGTATAGCCTATAGAGCGGAAACAAGACTGTGTCTATGGGGCGCCGGCAGGCCTTCTGTGCTTTGCAGCGACAATCTCTGGACTTTTCATTCCAGTGCCATATCTTTTCAATGTCATTCCATTTAATCTCATCGCATCGCAGCTTCTCTTGGAAATTACTCATTGCATCCCATTGTCACCGCAGTCTGTGTCATCCCATCTCATCTCATCTCATTTCATGTCTTCTCTCCTTTTCTCAGCTCTTCTCAGCTGTTCACAACTGTTCCATCTCTTCTCATGTCATCTTAGGTTTTCTGATTCCTTCTTCTCAGCTCATCTGAACTCTTCTCTTTTCAGCTCCTCTCAGCTTCTCAGCTTCTCCATTCTACGCAGCTTGTCTTTATACTCAGCTCTCAGCTCTTCACCACTCTTCTCATGTCAGGTCGTCTCAACTCATCCCATCTCACCTAATCTCACATCACCTCAGCTTATCTCAGCTCCCCTCAGATTCTCTCAGCTCTTCTCAACTCTTCTCAGCCCTTCGCAGCTCATGTCAGCTCATCTCAGCTCCTCTCACATCTTCTCAGCTAATCTCAGCTCTTGTCAGCTCTTCTCACCTCATCTCAGCTCTTCTCACCTCATCTCATCTCTTCTCAGATCACCCTCAGATCATCTCAGCTCTTTCTTCTCTGGCCCAAAACTTGCTCCAAAACCGGATCCCGGCGCCAAAGCCACAAAAAGTACGATCTTGATGCCCTTTTAAGAGTAAGTTTAAGCCACCCCGATGCGATTTGCAAGCAGCGACTTGCAAAAGACCATAGAACTACGTGCGCGACAGCCACGCAGAGCAACATTGATGTAGCCACCGCAACACGATTTGCAAACAGCGAGCTAAAAAAGACCCTAGAACTACCTGTGCAACAGCAACGCAGAACAACCGCGACGCAGCCATTCCAATGCAGTTTGCAAGCGCCAGGTTGCAGAAACCAATAAACTTGCGTTGGCAAGACTGAAGCTTCTCCTGGCCCAAACTTGCTCCACAACCGGATCTCGGCACCAAAACCCAAAAATCTAAGATTTCGATGGCTTTTTGAAAAGGCATCTTAAAAGAAAATGAACAGCGCCAAAAACGAGAAAAAACCGCAAAAAACTCATTGCCGCAACAAACACGCATTTCCTGCGACATCCCTCAAAAAGTGAAAGCTGAAGATGTGAAAACGAAGCTTTGGTGCGAGACCTCCCTCAAAATCTGAAAGTTGAAGATGTGAAAGCGAAGCTTTGGTGCGAGGCCTCCCTCAAAATCTGAAAGTTGAAGATGTGAAAACGAATCTTTGGTGCAAGACGTTCCTCAACAACTGAAGGTTGAAGATGTGAAAACGAAGCTTTCGTGCGAGTCGTCCCTTAAAAAGTGAAAGTTGAAGTTGTCGTTGCAACTTGAAACTGTGAAAATGACAGGCTGTCAGTTACAGCGCGGAGCCGATCCGAAAATGATCAGAGCACACCCGAGACCGTTTCGCAACGGCCGCGCCAGTGTTTATGCATTTTCGGATGTCGGCGGAATGGCCGAATGGCTGACGTGATTTGTTTCTAAACGCGCAAAACCCTAAACCCTAACTAAATCCTCAACCCCAAAACCTAAATCTGACATGAAACCTGAAGTAAACCTTGGAAGAAAATATTTCATTACAACCTTGGTAAAAACCCTAGAATCCCTATATAACTGAAACCCTAGATAAATCCTAAACACACCCTAAGCAACCCCCAAACAAAATCAAACAAACCCTAAGCCCTAAACAAACCGTAAACAGTTGATGACATGATAAACCTTGGGCGGCACCCCTGGCCTGGGGGTACATCTACATCTACATTACATTGCATCGCATGACATCCATACACATCCTGTCTCATCGCATCACATCTAATCGAAACAACTGGACTTTGTGCCAGATTCTCACAAATCTATGGCAAACAGTTTCACAATTGGTCACTGCTTCATTATATTTTTTCTAAACACTAAAGGGACACTTGCATGCGCAGCAACTTTGCTTACACGTGGGCGCGTGGGTCTCTGCCACAACCTTTGAAAGAAGGACTGGTCAGCCCTGCAAATCAATGCAAATTCACATGGTTTGACACATTTACGGAGGTTCATCACCACTCTTTGCCATTGGGAAGAGGAACCGGTTCACGCAACTTCGACATATTTAACGCAAGCCTCTGTAAAGTGGCAATTTCCACTGGGAGTGTTTGCGCATTTTCCAACCCGGCAATGCGAGGTGGAGCGTCCTGTGGCGACGACGCGAGAGATGAGTGAGCAATGGAGTCGAAGACCGGTCATCAATGAATGCTTCGGGCTTTGCCCATCTTTCAATGCTGTTCAACTTTGCTTGGAGAAAAATGGTTATGATTTATTACAATCGTTAGGTGTTTGCACTGAAAAAAATCTACGAAATTTGTCTTTGGTGCAAAGCTTGGCAGTTTTTTGATCCATTCTTCTGGTTGATGGGTTTCCTCCTTTTGCAAATCTCATCCCACGAAAAAGATGATTTCTTCCTGGAGCGCCATCAACCAGCAGGTTTTTTTCAATTCGTGAGGGTCGCCGAACTTCATGCTGCAGGATGCATGCATCATGCTGGCAGGGTTGATCGACTTTCCATGCCCGGTGACAAGGTCAACGCATCTGCGGCCTGACAAGATTATCATCAGGGTTGCTCTAACCCACTACAGCGAAAATAACCCCAGGGGGAAGATTGGTCATTGACAGTTTTTTTTCTAGACAGTTTCCTTCCTATCTGGGGTGAGCAACCCTGATCATGAAGAATAAGTAAGGGACTGCACACGGGATAAGAAGATCAGAAGGGAGACAGAATGATATAATATGTATATATCTATATATATACACATAATGATATAGTATAGATATATACATAAATGATAAATGAACATCAACTCTGGGTCACTCTTGTTGTCCCAAGACTTGCCTGGCTGCATCGTTGGCTGCGTTGATTTCGGTCTGGCATGTCTTTTTGCTGAGACACTGGCGCCCTACTACACAAGGCTGCAAAACAACTAATGTACCGAGCATAGATCTACACATATGTCCAATCTGTCGATATTCTGTATGCGTGTTGCCATATCTACGTATACAGACAAAGGTATGTATGACAAATGTATGACATCTTATATATATATATTGATATGTTTGCATATATGATACTATATACAGATATGACACCAAAACCATATATGTATATCTTATATACACATCTATGATACCATATACATACATACCTGCATGCGTTCATGCCTGCATGCCTGCATGCCTGCATGCCTGCATGCCTGCATGCATGCATGCATGCATGCTTGCATGCGTTCATGCCTGCCTACCTACCTACAGACATACAGTCATATAGACAGACATACAAACATACACACATACACACATACAAACATATACATATACATACACATATACATATATAGATATACACATACACATACACATACAGGCAGGCAGACTGACAGACATTTCCATACATATACATACATATAAATACATTACATACATACATACATACGTACGTACGTGCGGACGGACGGACGGACGGACATACATGATACCACACACATCTATATATATATATATACATACATATATACATATATTTATATATTTGCATATATATATATATATATTTGCATATATATATATATTTGCATATATATATACATATATACATATATCTATATGCATATATATATACATTTAAATGTACATATACATATACATATATACACAAACATATATATATATTATGCATATATATATATATATGTATATATATATATATTTATTTGCATATACATATATACGTATATACATATATACATATACACATATATACATATATACATATATACATATATACATATATACATATATACATATATACATATATACATATATACATATATACATATATACATATATAATACATATATACATATATAATACATATATACATATATAATACATATATACATATATAATACATATATACATATATAATACATATATACATATATAATACATATATAATACATATATGCATATATACATATATACATATACATATACACATATATACACATATACATATATACATATACATATATACATATATACATATATGCATATATGCAAATATACATAAATACATAAATATATACATATATGTATATATACATATATATGTTCCAGCCCACCGGCCACCTACCCCCCCAATCCTCCATACTAACCGACAGACAGACAGACATACAGACATAGGTACATAAATCCCTACCTGCATGTATACATACCTTCGTGCATACCCACCTACCTACAGCAATACAAAGACACAGATATATGCATACCTACCCACACACATTCCCACCTACATACATACCTGCCTACCTACATACATACATGCCTACATATAGACATACATACCCACCTACATCCATTCTTACAAACCTACCTACTTACTTCCCTACCTTAATACATACGTGCATGTATGCATTCATACATATATATATATATATACCACATACACCCACATACACCCACATACCCCCCCACAGGGGGGGAGGGATACATACATACATGCCTACATATAGACATACATACCCACCTACATTCATTCTCACATGCCTACCTTCATACATACGCGCATGTATGCATTCATACATACATATATATGATACCTACCTAGATATATACCACATACCCCCACATACCCCCACATACCACCACATACCCCCAAATACCCCCAAATACCCCCACATACCCCGACATACCCCCACATACCCCCACATACCCACACATACCCACACATACCCCCAGGACAGGCGGGGGTTTGGGGGGAGGGGGGTTGCCGGGGCTGGTACACACATATATAAATATATACATATATACATGTATACATGTATACATGTATACATATATACATATATACATATTTACATATATACAAATATACATATATACATATATACATATATACATATATACATATATACATATATACATATATACATATATACATATAATATACATACATAACATAACATAATATTACATTACCTTCCCTTACCTTACCTTACCTTACATTACATTACATTACATTACATTACATTACATTACATTACATTACATACATACATACATACATACATATACATACACAAATATATATATATATACATACGTATATGTATATATATGTACATATATACATATTCACATATATATATATATATATGTATGCACGCTACCGCGCGCACACACAAATCGATGATACCATTGTATTGCAGATACACATGTACATATGGCATTGTATAGTAGGCAGGACTATGCATGTAGTAGTGGCCTTTCGGTGTACCGTACTTCCAAAGGACAGATTTTCGGAAGTCCGACCCTTGAAGCATACCCAATGACTTTTGAAAAAAGGAAGGGTTCCTTTCACATTCGAGGTATGCTTCAGAGGTATGTTCAGAAGTATCTTAGACAACAGGAAACGGCATTCCGACAGCGGTGCAGAAAAGCACTGAAGACACGAGTCAAGCGGCTGGCGGAAGTTGAGAGAATGAGGGTTGTAAGTTCAAATAGAATTGGTTTGAGGATTGACAGAAAATATCTCACACACATCAATACATCCTTGTATTTGGATTGCAAAACCATGGTTTTGCATGGGTTTGATGGTAAAACCATGGTCACATGTAGGCCCTCCGACAATTCGCAGATCACGATGGAGATTCTTTCTAGCTGTGGAGATTGCAGAAATGCTAGTTGTGTCGGGAGATTGATCGCTAACTGGTCATGTGTGTCTAAAAATGAGGTATACCATGGTATACCCAATGGCCATTTCACGGGAATATGATCAATCAGAGGACTGAGAGTTACCCTATGTTGGTACCTAATTTGGACCCATAGCTGCCAGATCGATGATGATCCTGAGGGGGTGCAGATGCTGGAGATGGCAAAAAATATCCAAGACTACACAAGAGTAGTGGGATTGTAGTGGGTACTGTACCTTCCAGTAATTTAACAAAACTATAAACAAAGCAAACAATTACATTCTTTACCTACTGGAAGGACTGGAAATTGTGATTTTCCAACATGTCAGCTGGGCCATTGATGGATCGCGACGAGGTCTTGTTCGCGGCAAAGCTGCCGATTAACTTGGAGGAGACAATGGATACAATTGTGATTGGGCTGCCGGTGGCTGATGAACCAACAATTGGGCTCATTGGAAGGTGCTGAAGTCTGAGACATAGAACTCTGGTAGATTTGGTTCATTTGGTGATCCTTCAATATGGTCTTTCTCCAGACTTGTCCGCCTCAAAGCCAGAGGAAAAACTTAGTCCAGAAACGAATGTAGGCTTCGGGGTTAGACATTTTTGTATGGGCCACGTTTTTCTCGGCAGTTGGGAGAAGAAACTTCCAGCCTTTCCAGCCGCGTAGTACAGACATTCAGCTAGCTCTGTTAGCCTGCCGGAATCTTGTATGAAGAACGGTGAAGAGTTCGTAGGATCATAGAGACTAGATGTCCCGTTCGAACGATATTCGGCCATCCCAGTATACGAATGTATATGATAAAATTAAATTAAGGGTTTATTGTGAACAATCACTGCTTGATTTTTTGAGATTGAAAATCTGAGATACCCCTGCCCGCGAACAGCTCAAGCGGAAAGAGATCAGCATATATCCAATGCACTTCTTACCAGAAGATGAAAAAACCCAAAAGAAGGTAAATGTACCAGATGAGGCTAGGGTTCACCTGGCAAAGTCACTCAAATCATCCTTTTGAACCTTTAGACATCGTTCAGCCATGATTCGTGTTGAAACCATTTCGACTCATGACCATGTCATCAGGAGCCCGCAGCAGAGGATTTGCGTCAAGAGGCCCATTTGTTGGGGTTGCTTCCGCTGTTGCAGCACGAGGTCAGGTCAATTTCCACCATTGGTGCATGTTTGTTTTCGACATTGCTGGCACTTACAGGAAGGATTGGCTTGGTTGGGGACCCTGTAAGCCTTAGCTCATCATCGGTTGAGTCCACAGGCTATATCTTTTCAGCGACAGCAGAGGAGTATCGATTTTCAAATCCACGTTGGTCAGCAGACCAGCTGAACCACAGAGTGTCTCAGCTATCTCGGCTGAAGTTTTGTAGGCCTTCTTGCAAGATGGCAAGTCAGTGACCATTTGCTACAAGTGCTCTTGGCTTCGGGCCGCTTCGGGGGTGACATATTGGGTGACAGCCCTTTCAAACTGGGACCTTTTTAGGCGAAATGACCTACGTGGATCGGTGATCCCTTGATGATGTTTGATAAATGATTTCCTGTTGCTGCAAGCACAAAAGACGCCACAAAGTGCCTAAAACTGCGAAAAAAACATCTGCATTCAGATGGTGATTCCCCATTGCCCAGGTATACCCTCAGTGAAGCAGCTCGGCATTGTGAAACTTCTTGGGGCTCAGGTGATGTACTCCATTTTTGATCGTTCTTGGGCGGGTCAAAGATTTCAAATCCACTACTACTTGTGTATATATCTGATATATATATATGAATATATGAATATATATATATATGAGCCACCGCAAAAACCCCGGCAATACTAAATATGTATTGGACGGACATTGGTTTATGGAAATTGATGGAAATTGATAAAAACCCACGGTAAGCGATGGGACCTTCCCAAATTAGCGATACCCATTTTCAAGGTTATGTCATTGTATTTCTCTGATATCCACATTAGCGATACCCAAATTGGACGTTGATTTCTGTGAATTATATACAAAAAAAATCAAAAAAATGTAGCAGTTTGCTGCAAGCGATACCCCCCAAGTTTACCATATATCATTATTGTACAAACGTGCGGTAAGCGATGGGACCTTCCCAAATTTGTGGATGTCCTTTCCGTGAACCTAGGGTTTTCGAGATTGCTCATATATGTATATATATATATATGTATATAACATGTATGTATATATATATATGGTCACCCCCCCCCCTACGACCCCCCAATGTGTCATTTGTATTGTTATTTACAGCATAAAATGCGTATTTTTAGTATTCCATTTTTGTCTTCTTCGTATATAGTCATAACAATACAATATCTTAAGGCACTTTGGGGAAGGCCCCATAGAAACACAATTGACCGCCGACCCAAAATCAAAAAAACATCGGGAAAACAAAAAAAAAAAAAAATCCGACTCCTCTGGGGTCACTCCATGAAAAAAACAAAAAAACCTTGAGAAAACCAAAAAAACAAAAAAAAACAAAAAAAAACCAATATTTTCAGACTCTTCTGGGGTCACTCCATGAAAAAACAAAAAAAACCTTGAGAAAACCAAAAAAACAAAAAAAACCAAAAAAACCAATATTTTCAGACTCTTCTGGGGTCACTCCATGAAAAAACAAAAAAAACCTTGAGAAAACCAAAAAAACTAAAAAAACAAAAAAAACCAATATTTTCAGACTCTTCTGGGGTCACTCCATGAAAAAACCAAAAAAACCTTGAGAAAACCAAAAAAAACCAAAAACACAATATTTAGAAACTATCTCGAGGGCCCCCCCCCAAAGAATCGCTAAATATTGTTTTTTTTGTTTTTTTTGTTTTTTTTGGTTTTCTCAAGGTTTTTTTGTTTTTTTCATGGAGTGACCCCAGAAGAGTCTGAACATATTTTTTTTTTTGTTTTCTCAAGGTTTTTTTGTTTTTTTCATGGAGTGACCCCAGAAGAGTCTGAAAATATGTTTTTTTTTTTTAATTGTTTCATGGAGTGACCCCAGAAGATTATAAGAATATGAAAACTCATAATTTCTCCAATATTTCTTAAATGCAAACACTGTCTGTCACTCATGCATCTGCCAATCCGTAACTGAACTGTTTCAAATCCAAACTACTGCCTTGACCTGTCTGTCATTCATGCATCTGTCCAGCTTCAACTCAGCCATTTCAATTCCAAACTGCTTCCTGGATCATCGCATTTGCTTCTTCGTTTTTTTTTAATTTTTTCATGGAGTGACCCCAGAAGATTATAAGAATATGAAAACTCATAATTTCTCCAATATTTCCTAAATGCAAACACTGTCTGTCACTCATGCATCTGCCAATCCGTAACTGAACTGTTTCAAATCCAAACTACTGCCTTGACCTGTCTGTCATTCATGCATCTGTCCAGCTTCAACTCAGCCATTTCAATTCCAAACTGCTTCCTGGATCATCGCATTTGCTTCTTCGACATGGCTAACGTGGACGTCAATTTCGTGGAAAGCTTTAGGCATCAACTTGGTGAAAGAGATGGTATCTTGTCTTATGAGGAGGCAATCGTGCAAGTGTCTGGGCAACGGCTGCTCGGACCTCAACAAAAGCCGCTCAAAAGCAACCGGCCGAAGGGTGATGTGTGCCTGATCGACTTACCCATCAGGGACCTACATTCACATGGTGGCAAACTTGAACAGTTTGTGGACATTATCCAAAATCATCCTGTCGAGGGAGAGATTAGCATCAATGCCGACTTCCTTGACAATCTCTTGTACAAGCATGCTGTCCAAGCCAAATACTCAGCTCTTCCCAAACCATTCTGCTTGAAGGCAGAGCCCAAAGTTCCATATAGCATGCAGTTTGTCATCGTGCCGTCCTATCTTCCTCCTGATGAAGATCATGCCTATGTCGACATCTTCAAGCACGTTTACCTTCACAAGAACAAGATCCTCAGCAGTGAATGCATCTCCTGTTGTCACGGAATTCCTGTTCGCTTTGACTGGGGCTCTCAGGTTCGTCTCGGCCTCACAGGTATGAACTACATGCTGGATCGCGTCGGAGGCATGCAGGTGCGATTGTGGACAATTCAGCCCAAGTTCGAAAAGAAGGTGACTTTAGATCAGACTGCTCGTGAGGCAGGGTATCATTTCATTCGAGACCATGGTCCGCGCTCCAACAACAGGAATCAGTTCATGGAGTGGACCGATGAGCAGGTTCATCTTGCCGGTGGCCCCTTGGAAGGATGGCATGAAGGAAAGGTCAAGGAAGCTCTGCACAATTACTATCGCGGGCGGCAAAATGCCAAAACTTTAGAGTATTGGCCCCTGACCTTGAAGAGTTTCAGTGCATGGTTCCTAGATGATGTGATTGTGCACATGCTACCCTCCATGCGACAGCACTCAATCACTTGGATTGGACGCACCCGCGTCGGCAAGTCGGTTGGTTCCAAAACAATCCTCTTCGCACAGTCCCGCTTTGAGATCACTGAAGCAGACCGAACTGACTTGACCCCATCCATCGTGACGGCCAAACATTTGGATTTCTTCAAAGCCGAGCCCATTACGAAATTCAAACCAGGTGTCTTCGACGATGGCATGTTGCAGCGCATGGACAGCAGCTTTCTCAAAGCCTTCTTGAATCCATCGGCTTCTTGGCTTCCAATGGTGCTTCCTCCCTTTCACATATGCACTACAAATACTAAGTAAATGAATAGATAACGAAGTAAAATAAATAAATATTCAATATTAAGTCACATGAAAGAAAATAAATTAAAGAAAAAATAAGAAACAAAACATATAAATCATCAAGTGTTATGGAAACACATCGTGCCTGTGTCTTCTACTTAACAAAACAATGTCAACTGCATGTGGTAGCTGCCTGGGTAACATGTTGCTAGCTGTCCAGTCTGTCGCCGATCTTCACGCTTGCAACTGCTCAGGAAGAGGATGCGACTGTGTGGGCTCGCTATTCATCTGCTCAGTTTGATCAAGGAGCTGGATGTCACGCTTGCAACAATCCGTACAATGATGTGGTCGAGGAACAGCTTTTCCAAGAGATGCAGAAGAAAGGGGCCAGCAGCATTTCTCATAAGGGTTTCCTCGACATCATCGCTCCTTCCTTCACCGCCGTCGAAGACAAAGAGGACATGGCCGCAATCCTGGCGCGGACCCATGTCATTCTCCTCACAGAGAACGGAGTATATCACCGCGTCTCCAACACGCAGAAGGTGGATGTGCCATTCATCCAATGGCCTGAGGCCTCCATCAAAGATATCTTGGCTGCAGAGCACAAGCCGATCTTCAAGGCATACAGACAAAATCCTTCTGGACATTCTTTGCCCGAGAACTATCATGCTGATGCCATTTGGTCCCAAGAACTACTTCGCAAGCTATTGAATGGTGAATCAGTGCCACGAACTATTACGATTCGGATGGGCAACCTGTTCTCCGCAGAAGTCTCGGAAGTACAGCAAGCACCACGTTTACTGCCTGCGTCCGAGATGGCCACCAAAGTGAAGAAAGAACGTGAGGTAAACTTCTTCAAAAACCTCAAGCGCTCAAACTTTGGCATCATTGACCTCGACAGCCCCTCGCCTCCAAAGCGGGTCCGTTCGACATCGGCCCCTTCAGTCCCCAACCCAGACGATCTGCCCGGGATGTCCGTGGAGAACGAATTTCCTGAAGTTGAAGAGACAGATGAATTCAAGATTGAACTTGAAAAGATGGTAGAGTTGGAGATGATGGAAGATGCCGATGCCTTTTACAACGCAGAGAAGTGAGTCAGATCTTAGGAGACATTGCTGTGAAATTTTGTTTGATACTCATGCTGCGTGTGTAGAGTAGTCTTGGTCAGACTGTCCCAATCCAGAACAGTAGCAAAGCAAGGGGTGGAAAAAATGTCCCGGCGGCCTGCTTGACACTTGCATCACATCAATATGTATGTGTAAACTACAGAATGAAACATAAGCTTTCTTGCACATACAGAAGCAAACTTGCTCAGATGTGTGTCATGACATTGCCTGTTCGTTGGATTTTCTGCATGGTCTGCCCCACTCTTATTTGGAGAGACATTTCAAATCAAAATTGCCATCCATCCGCTTGTCCTTGCACCGTCCGGCCGTTTGCATTCCTCAAACACTTTCGTGCTCGCTGACAGTTTTGCTTCTGATTGACATCATGCCAAAGAAGATCATGAAGGCTGTGAAGAACAAGCCCCAGGTTTGGCCAGCTCCAAAGAAAGGAAAAGCCCGCACCTTTATGAAGTCCAATGCTCCCATGAAGAAATGCAAGCCTGTCCCGTATGTCCGGCATCCAGGTGTGCAGACCAAGTTTCGAAAGGAAAGGGTTCACTTCGGTGTGTCAGTTCAAGGCCTCATCTCTATGCGTCCTCGGGCTTTGTTCCGTTGTTTGCAGAAAAATGGCATTCTCCTCGACTGGAGAGGCCAGACCTGTCCCCATTGTGGCGCTGGGAGTCTCCAACCTCTGCGCTTCTTCAAAGACAGAAAGGTTTGGGCGCACAAGTGCACAGCCAAGCTTTGCAGAAAATATGTTCAGCCACATGACTTCCATCCCATTTTCCATCATGGACGTGGGGCCAGCTACACTCCCTTGGGGCATCAAGCAGCTGTTCTATGCTGTGCGCTTGCGGGCGTACCAGCAACCTCAGCTCCCGTCATCTTGGGCATGAATCACAAGCCCGTCTCGCGCATCTACAACAACCTTGAGATTGCTCGCAGCCGTCATGTCCTCCAGAAACAGAAGGAAATCCACTTCGGAGCCAGACACAAATGGTGTGATGTTGAGGCGGATGAAGTTGATATCGGCAAGGAAGTTGACTTACAGCACAAAAGGGCCAAGTGGGAGCAGTGGGGTGGCATTGTCGAGCGGGGCCAGCCTAGCACCTTGGTTCTCTTCCGCCTCCCTCCAAAGACTACCGCTGTGCGCTCGCCAGGTCCAGGCCCAATCACCAAGCGAGATTGGAAACCCATTGCTCATAAGTTCTTGGAGAATCGTGATGTGATCTTGCATACTGATGGTGCCAAGACCTACAAGATGAAATTGTCCGGCGTGGTGCATGACAACGTAGTGCACAAGAAGAAGCAGGTGCTCGTGAAGGGAAAGCCTGTGTGGGTGAAGCCTCATTACACCAAAGTGTGGAAACACAAGTTGCCAAATGGCAAAAGCGTAACCGTGAAAGCAGGTACGCAAATCATCGACCGCTTCTGGGGCCATCTGCGCGCAGCTTTGAAACATGCTCCGCGTAAGGTCGGGTCCATTGCGCTTGCCCGTAAAGTTCGAGCAGCGCAGTGGACGTACTGGCACCGTTCCCAGAATTTTTGGGATGCCACTGGGCAGATGTTGCAGGATCTGCGCGTTTGATCAAAGACTGGCTATGCAAAAAAGATTCACCGCTTTGCATTCTTCGCTGCAGTTGCTCTTCTCCTGTCGTCAAACATGAGTTCATATATCACATAGACCCGGGCAAGCCGGCGGCGGAAGTTTCCCAAACATAAATGACCTATAGTTCAAAGACAACCTGTCCCGACCGTGTCCTTCCCTCGACACTCCACACTCACACTGCACACTGCACACTGCACTCTTCGCACTCCAAACTTCACACTCACACTTCACACTTCACACTCCACACTGCACACTTCACACTTCACAGTCCACACTTCACACTTCACACTTCAAAGTCCACACTTCACACTTCACAGTCCACACTTCTCACTTCGCACTTCACACTTCACACTTCACACTCCACATTTCACACTTCTCACTTCTCACTGCTTCCTTCACACTCCAAACTTCACACTTCACACTTCTCACTTCGCACTTCACACTCCACACTTCTCACTTCTCACTGCTTCCTTCACACTCCTAACTTCACACTTCTCACTTCGCACTTCACACTCCACACTTCAAACTCCACACTTCACACTTCTCACTTCTCACTGCTTCCTTCCCACTCCAAACTTCACACTCCAAACCTCACACTTCACACTTCTCACTTCGCACTTCACACTCCACACTTCACTCACACTTCACACTTCACAGTCCACACTTCACACTTCTCACTGCTTCCTTCACACTCCAAACCTCACACTTCACACTTCACCCTTCACACTGCGCTCTTCGCACTCCACACTGCACAGTCCACACTTCACACTTCTCACTTCACACTTCTCACTTCTCACTGCTTCCTTCACACTCCAAACTTCACACTTCTTTGTGATTTGCAACTTCTCACTTCGCACTTCACACTCCACACTTCACAGTCCACACTTCACACTTCTCACTGCTTCCTTCCCACTCCAAACTTCACACTCCAAACTTCACACTTCACACTTCTCACTCACACTCCACACTTCACAGTCCACACTTCACACTTCTCACTTCTCACTGCTTCCTTCCCACTCCAAACTTCACACTCCAAACCTCACACTTCACACTTCACACTTCACACTGCGCTCTTCGCACTCCAAACTGAAACTTCACACTCCACACTTCACACTTCCCACTTCCCACTGCTTCCTTCACACTTCACACTTCACACTGCACTCTTCACGCCCCACACTTCACACTGCTCTAAACGTACGTCCAACAAAAAAACACTAGTGCCAAAATGGAGAAAATCTGCTAACAAACCCATTTCGCAGCCTTCATGCAGCCACTCCAATACGATTTACGAGATCCAGCTGCAAAAGACAATAGTAAGACGAATGCAGCCACAGCACGCAGCAACCTTGACGCAGCCATTACAATGCGATCTGCAGAGATTGAGTTCCAAAACACAATAGAACTACGCGCAACGGCGTCGGAAATTGTAGCTCCAAAACCGGATCTCGACGCCAGAGCGAAAAAAAAGACGATTTTGAAGCACTTTTTAAAAGGATTTTTAGAAGGAAAATCACTAGCGCCAAAATGGAGAAAATTTGCTAACAAATCCATGTCGCAGCCTTCATGCAGCCACTCCAATACGATTTACGAGATCCAGCTGCAAAAGACAATAGTATTACGAATGCAGCCACAGCACGCAGCAACCTTGACGCAGCCATTACAATGCGATCTGCAGAGATTGAGTTCCAAAACACAATAGAACTACGCGCAACGGCGTCGGAAATTGTAGCTCCAAAATCGGATCTCGACGCCCGAGCGAAAAAAAAAAAAAAGCGATTTGAAGCACTTTTAAAAGGATTTTAGAAGGAAATTCACTACTTAGCGCCAAAATGGAGAAAATTTGCTAACAAATCCATGTCGCAGCCATTCATGCAGCCACTCACCAATTACGATTTACGAGATCCCCAGCGGCAAAAGACAAATAGTATTACGAATTGCAAGCCACAGCACGCAGGCAACCTTGACGCAGCCAGTAAATGCGATCTGAGAGAACTGAGAGTTTGCAAAAAACACAAGAACTACGCCGAAACGGCGTCGGAAATTGAGCTCCAAAATAGGATCTTCGAAGCCACAGCGAAAAAAAAAGGACGATTTTGAAGCACTTTTAAAAAGGATTTTAAAAAGAAAATCACTAGCGCCAAAAATGGAGAAAATCTGCTGACAAATCACTGTCGCAGCCTTCACGCAGCCACTCCAATACGATTTACGAAGTCGAGCTGCAAAAGACAATAGTATTACGAATGCAGCCACAGCACGAAGCAACCTTGACGCAGCCATTACAATGCGATCTGCAGAGACTGAGTTGCAAAACACAATAGAACTACACACAACGGCGTCGGAAATTGTGGCTCCAAAACCAGATCTCGACGCCAGAGCGAAAAAAAAGACGATTTTGAAACACTTTTTAAAATGATTTTTAGAAAGAAAATCACTAGCACCAAAATGGAGAAAATCTACTGACAAATCAGTGTCGCAGCCTTCATGCAGCCACTCCAATACGATTTACGAAGTCGAGCTGCAAAAGACAATAGTATTACGAATGCAGCCACAGCACGAAGCAACCTTGACGCAGCCATTACAATGCGATCTGCAGAGACTGAGTTGCAAAACACAATAGAACTACACACAACGGCGTCGGAAATTGTGGCTCCAAAACCGGATCTCGACGCCAGAGCGAAAAAAAAACGATTTTGAAACACTTTTTAAAAGGATTTTTAAAAAGAAAATCACTAGCGCCAAAATGGAGAAAATCTACTGACAAATCAGTGTCGCAGCCTTCATGCAGCCACTCCAATACGATTTACGAAGTCTAGCTGCAAAAGACAATAGTATTACGAACGCAGCCACAGCACGAAGCAGCCTTGACGCAGCCACTACAATGCAATCTGCAGAAACTGAGTTGCAAAACACAATAGAACTACGCACAACGGCGTCGGAAATTGTGGCTCCAAAACCAGATCTCGACGCCAGAGCGAAAAAAAAGACGATTTTGAAACACTTTTTAAAAGGATTTTTAGAAAGAAAATCACTAGCGCCAAAATGGAGAAAATCTACTGACAAATCAGTGTCGCAGCCTTCATGCAGCCACTCCAATACGATTTACGAAGTCGAGCTGCAAAAGACAATAGTATTACGAATGCAGCCACAGCACGAAGCAACCTTGACACAGCCATTTACATTGCGGGAACGATCCTAAAGTTGCAAAGCACAATGGAATTCCATTGGCAACTCATCCGCCAGCAACACTTGCAATCCCATTTACATTGAGGGAACGATCCTAGAGTTGCAAATCACAATGCAATTCCATCAGCAACTCGTCCACCAGCAACACTTGCAACCCCATTTACAATGCGGACACCGATCCGAGAAAAAGAATGATCCGAGGATGTGACCGAAAATACCGAGAATGATCCGACCACACACGAGACCGTCTCGCACACGTCGCACCGCCAGAGGCAGAGGTAGGATCATCGAGGTTCGGGGACGCACTTATGGAAAAACATAGGGTTTCGTTGCATCTGCATCTCTCAAAACGCATTTCGTGCGGACTTCCTTCACAACTCCATCGGCAACTCATCCGCCAGCACCACTTGCAATCCCATTTACAGTGCGGGAACGATCCTAGAGTTGCAAATCACAATGGAATTCCATCGGCAACTCATCCACCAGCACCACTTGCAACCCCATTTACAATGCGGGAACGATCCTGCAGTTGCAAATCACAATGGAATTCTGTCGACCACACGTGCACGAAAAAAAAGTGACCACCCCATTACAATGCGGAACAGAACGAGAATGAAATCCGAGGCTGATCCCGAAAATATCGAGAATGATCCGACCACACACGAGACCGCTCGCACCCGTCGCACCGCAGAGGTAGATCATCGAGGTTCGGGTACGCACTTTGTATGGAAAAACATAGGGTTTCGTGCATCTGCTATCTCTCAAAAACGCATTTCGTGCGAGACTTCCTTCAAAACTCCATCGGCAACTCATCCACCAGCACCACTTGCAATCCCATTTGCAGTGAAGGAACGATCCTAGAGTTGCAAATCACAATGCAATTCCATCAGCAACTCATCCACCAGCACCACTTGCATCCCATTTACAATGCGGGAACGATCCGACAGTTGCAAATCACAATGGAATTCTGTCGACCACACATGCACGAAAAACAGTTGAAACCCCATTTACAATGCGGAACCGATCCGACCATGATCCACCCATGATCCGAACATGATCCGAGCATGATCCGACCACACACGAGACCGTCTCGCACCCGTCGCACAGCAGAGGTAGATCATCGAGGTTCGGGGACGCACTTTGTATGGAAAAACATAGGGTATCGTGCATCTGCTATCTCTCAAAAACGCATTTCGTGCGAGACTTCCTTCAAAACTCCATCGGCAACTCATCCACCAGCACCACTTGCAATCCCATTTACATTGCGAGAAGATCCTACAGTTGCAAATCACTAACTCTTTCTTTGACTAACTGTTTCTTTGACTAACTCTTTCTTTGACTAACTTTTTCCCTGACTAACTGTTTCTTTGACTAACTCTTTCCCTGACTAACTCTTTCTTTGACTAACTCTTTCCCTGGCTAACTGTTCTTTGACTAACTCTTTCTTTGACTAACTCTTTCTTTGACTAACTCTTTCTTTGACTAACTCTTTCTTTGACTAACTCTTTCTTTGACTCACTCTTTCTTTGACTAATTGTTTCTTTGACTAATTCTTTCTTTGACTAACTCTTTCTTTAACTAACTGTTTCTTTGACTAACTGTTGCTTTGACTGACTCTTTCTTTGACTAACTCTTTCCCTCACCAACTCTTTCCCTCACTAACTCTTTCTTTGACTACCTCTTTCTTTAACTAACTGTTTCTTTGACTGGCCTGCTGTTAACATAATCAAATAGTCATTGGGTTTTCCCATTATTGTTTGCAGAAAAGTGGTGAACTATATTTGAGGTGAAAATGA